GATATAATATGCAAATTTAACCTACAATTGTGTAGATAGGTAACTTGTCAAACTTTGATAATCCTACCCTTTTGAAGGAATTGGAAACTTTGTCACAATAGTTGTGCATCTCTTAGTAAACACAGATGCAACTGTGAAAAGAGGCTGACATGATCAAATTTTCAACCCCACTGCTGTAACTGGTTTAAGTATTTATCTGAATTTATTAGGAATGATACAACCCAGCCCTGCATGCCCCTGGTGCTACTATTCAGCTATATTTGTGGTCATTAATGATAATTAATAAAGCCCATTAAATTACAAAACACTTACCACTGCTTGCTATTGCTGACAAGAAATTATCAGGCACCAGTCCAACCTTACCACCAGCTCTGATCTTCCACCAGCCATCTTGATCAGTTTCTGTACTGATAATATCAACAGTGTCACCTTTTGTTACAGACACTTCATCATCCTGATCAGCATGGTAAGAGAACATCACTTTAGCCTTTTGTGGCTGTGACTTTTTTACTGTTGGTGCTGGAGGGCCTAGGGCTGGCTTAAGAATAGAAGCAGGGGCTGTTACCTCACTTAGCTAAAACAGAGAGTGTTAGTAGTATGCATAGTGTAAAACTGACAGTGTATAACAAGTCAGTTTAATTTGCTTACTGATGGTCCTATTGCAGGTGAAACTGGTGTAAGTTTTTGTCTGAGCTTGTTCGGATTGATACCACCTAGCCCTGGCATTGCTATCATTGAAGGGGGCCTTGCCTTCTCAGCTATCATATACAGTATCATAATAAGATGCATGCATAGAGGCTAGGATTCTCCTACCTGGTTTAGGTGTTATACTAGAAAAAACAGGAGAAGAATCTTTTTCCTCAGCCTCTTCTATTAGCTGAACAAAATTAGACGGGAACACGCCTTCTCTCCCATCAAGCTTCCCTCTCCACCATCCTTCCTCCTCCTCCCCCAGTACTTCTACAGTGCTCCCGAGGGGCAGGTTCAGTTCATCAGGGTTCTCTGCTGTGTAACTGTATGCAACCTTAGCTCTTCGCTTACAAGTATTGCCTGCCAATTCAGCTATATAAAATAATTATTATAATCTCAATAGCATTGTTAAAATATTTGAAAAGAAAACTAGTGTAACTTTCAATGTTGCTTACTTCTTAAATTAGAAGTATCTACTGCCTCTACTTTCGGCTTTAGCTTCACAAAATTGTCGGGAAACACCCCTCTAATGCCATTAAGTGTTCCCTCACACCAACCCTCCTCTATCTAAAAACAAGATCATAGACATTTATGACATTAGACTATAGGCCCATCCTGCAGTCAATTGGCATGATCACTAATTGTACCTATGCCACCTATAGTGGTGGCAAGAGATAATGACAATGCATGTGCTAAACCTGAGAGAAAAAAGATTAGAAAAAGTGCAAAAAAACTCCAGCTAGGTTGCACCTAACAATTGCATGTATACTTCACTATTTCACTCTTATCCACGTATACCCATTTCTAATTTTTACCAATTTTAAAAGTTGCTTCAAAGCCATGCATGTACAGTACATGTACTACTGTGGTGCTTGTCAGCTCATGAAGCATGCTGTTTAGCTCACTTAGAATGATACTTTGCGGGAAACCCTGCTGTATGTTACTTGTTAATTTGCAACATTATCTATAGTACAGATTGCTATATCTATGTTAGCCTGCCGGTATTTCAGCCGTAACCACACACCTTGCTGCAGTAATTTATTCTCACCTAAGAAGGTCTATAGACCCTATTGGGCACTAACTTCTGCAAGTAATTATTGCATTATGGTATCCACCAACACACACAATTTGGACAGCAAAATGGCTACTAGATCCAAAGAGAAAAACAAACAAGAGACCTTAGTGGCTTCCAGAGCTTGCCTGAGTGGAAATAAATGTAAAGAATAAAGGCCAGAATGTCTCCTGAGTAAAAGCTTCACTGCACTCGAAGCAATTTGTCAGTAAAGGCTTTTTTGGCCTCCTATCCATTGGTTTTATTATCCAGAAGAATTTTTCATTAAAGAATGTGGTTATAGGGCACGGAAGATAATGAATGATATCTCATGTACATTATCTATAATTGCATGCAGAAGTTATATAGCACCCAATAGGACTGTAGCCTCTTGTATTAGCATAAATTTTGTTCCTATATACTTCAATTGCAGTTAACAAAAATGTGTAGGAATATCAAATTTATTGTAATGAATGTATGGCCTCAATATGACTCATTGCTTTTTGCACGCTTATGTGCAACCAGATTTGCTATTGAAATAAATGGTTGCAACACACACCAAAACAAAAAAAACAATAATTGTTTTGTATGTATGATTTCAAAACTAATTTGTCCTACATATTACCACTGTAGGTATTAAAAGTTGCTTGCTATTGTTGATTGCTATATAGTTTTGATTGCATCATAGTCTAATTAAGAGATGTGAGGGTGTTGGGTGTGGCTGCAAAGTGCAAACTGACAGCATGGCAGTTGTTACAGTACAGAGAAAGTGTGAAATCTTGATCGCTAGAGTTGTCACAGTCCAGTGAAAGTGTCAAATCTTCATTCTTGGGCTAACTGCTGGAAGAAGCTTGAGTTTCTTGGTCTTCTACTCAATGCACACACACATTTATTAGGCTCTATTTGTTCCATACAAACTCTTGTCAAGCATCTGAAGTTTATAGGCCTAAACTACTCTTCCCAAGGACAAGCGTCTCATGTAAAGTCAAGAGGAAGTAATTTTTAGGCAATCATATTTTCAAAACAAAGACAATTCCAGCAAAACACTATGTTATTTTTTCAGATCAAGTTTCTGTGACTCCAAAATACTAAAAAGCACTGTTACTCGAAGTAAGAAAAAATCTATCAAGAACCTGCTACATTTGCCAAAATTGATGGCTTTTGGTGCCTTCCATTGCCGGTTATACTTGATAAAGTAGTGGAAAGTAACTGTATAGCCCATGGGGAAGTTTTGGTGACTGTAGGAGAGCCCCTTTTAAAACCACAGAGCCTCAAAGTAAGAATTGCGGTGGACAGAATGAATGGATCATAGATGAATGAATGAATAGTCCTTGCCCACATTAATCGCTGGCAAGGCCAAAAATTCCAGCACCATGTGTGTATGTAGTATCTATGGTTGCACAAAAAGCAATGCAAGATCAACCCAACCCCGTGACGAGACTAGATTAACCCCATCAGCAAGTGTAACTACTTTCAACTCACCACTGTCACATCAGTCACTATATCCCCAACATTAAGGCTCAGTTCATCGTCCTGCTCTGTGGAGTAATCGAATAAAACGACACCTTCTGTAATGTAAAGAACACAAATTTGACGAGGATCATAGCCTAGGATGATGTATCTTACCCATATCAAGCAGTAGCCTAATGGCTCACAGCTATGGGCGTATGCGTATCTTATGGGTGTGGCTCATCTGAATTTGTAGATTGTAGGTCATGCATGTATGATACAAGACACTGCCCAAAATCAATGAATCAAGCCTGATTACAGAATTAATACAGTCTGACAAGTATCATTGCTAAATCATACATGTTGCTCTGGCTGAACCAGTATGAATTCCAGCATGATTGTATCAAGGCTGATAGATCCTGCTATGCCCATTGCCATATTAGCTGCCCAAAATCCATGATTCAGGATGCATTAGGCCGGATCAGGACTAACATCATTTATGATTCAATCACAAACTCTTGGCTGTTATCTATGGTGAAGCCACAAAGGACTGATAAGTAAATCAGTTGCAAGATCAGCCGATCAGACAAAGTGGTAATTGTACATGTATATATAATACATAATGATTGTATCTATTTACCGTATTGTAACTTTTACTGATATTTTCACCAAAAAAAGATGGCTTTACTTATATTTCTCGATTTTTGGCCTCAGCCAAATTTTGTCAAAATTGAAAAGGAGAAAATTCTCCATTAAAAAAATTTTTCCTCATTTCCTGATTGATTTTCAATCAAAAATTAAATTTTTATAAGTTTTTAAAGTTGCTCCATAAGCCATGTACTATTGTAATACTTTTTAGCTCATTTGTGGGTAACACTGACATACACATGTAGGTCTTTTATCATTTCATTATTATTTCAGATTTTTCTCAATGTACATGTACATGTACTTTTTATTATTATTATAAATTAGAAATTATCCTCGTGAAGTCAAGGTCATCAAAAGATGTGGATTGCATTATTGAATCAGTCGCTGATCCTGTATCAAGACCCTGACACTGATCCCTTGCAGTCCTTTACACTAGTTGATGCTATGGTCCGTCACTGTACTGATGCACCTGGTTTCAGGTCACGCCCATCATTCTGTCATATCAAAGACGAGTTCACTATAGTAGTTGAGTTATCTGATCCAACTAACGCGAGCAATGAACCAGAGACAATCTCATTGTCCTTTTCAGATAAAGATGATATGGTGAGTGAGGGCTCAGTGCCAGTCAACTTCCTTTTCTATCTTTCATTCTCCATACTGTAGGAATGACACCCTGTACTGTATAGTACAGGGTATTTTGTTTAAAATTGACATAAATGTATTTGTTTATTATTATAATTAAAATTGATTTTTTCCATGTTTTCATTTAATTGTTACAGACAGTTGAACCAAGAGCTAGGGATGGAGAGTGTGTGTAGTGTGTACTACTGGTTTCTCACTGATGAGTGACTGGCCAGGTGAAGAAGGAATGGACATATTCTATTTATTTCCAAACAGCAAACTAATGGATGTCATATCAATGTGGAGTGACAGTATGACTGAACTGGGTAGCTCATCAACTCATGCACGGACCATTCGTCTCACGTACCGTAACCGCCTCTCATTTAAAACAAGGCGTGGCCAAGAAACTGATAGAGAGGTTATATTATTAGCCTATCAGGTACACAGTACATATTATGAGTGCTTGTGTTTTATTGGTGTTTGTTTTTAGTATAGTAAAGATGTACTCAATGATTATTATCTTGTTCCTTCACTTGATATTGCTCTTGATATTATAGCAAGAATGGCACAGGTACACCTCAATATATTTATACATGTACTATAATAACATAAGAAATTTTGTGAATTTTCATAATTTTATACTTGAAGCAGTTAAGAAGCGTTTTGGTGTTTTTGTTCATTATTATTATTATTATCATTATTATTAATCAATAGATTGATTATGGTGATTGTAGTTCCCTCACTAATGCACAAGACATTGCTAAAGATGCAGTGAGGAGGTTTTGCTGTCGTAAATTCACAATGAACATACTACCACATGACATGGAGCTACTGAGTAGCCGTTTATTACAGAAATGGAAAGGATATCATAATATCAGTCGCCAGTCTTGCTCTAGAATGTTACTGACACTGTTAGCTGACACGTGGGGG